CTATAACTTGGTTTGAGTATCAAGGGGGACCATCTTGATCATCAAGAGCCACTGAAGCCCCCTATGATGTCAATTGCTCTCAAAAAGTCTTGAGTCACCTGGCCCTTGGGAAGCTGCTTCAGCTCAGAATATTTAAAGACATTTTGGGAAGTTGCGATTGGGGGCCGTGCTCCGCTTGACGTCTGAGGACCTGGTCCAAACTCAGCCTTCCGGCCAGCCAGTTCCACCTTCCGGAGGATTGGTGCCAGGCCACCTGATAGGCATCGCGGCTAGCCAGAAAGAGTTCCTTCTGGTCTTGATCGAAGAAGTAAAGGCCTGAGGCTGGGCCGAAAAAGCGAGGCACCTCTTAGATCGGACGTCTCGAACCAAGTTTTGGCAAACCAATCGACAGCGCGGGCAACCTGGTCCGCTATTTTTGGGCTCGGCAGGCTGGCTGTGGTTTTTGGCTCGGGCGCTCGAGAAATAGCCGGCCGCGTTAAGCTCGCAATAAAAGAACCTACTAGCAATGGCCTCCAACCCAAGGCCCAATCGTTAGGCATCTTGTTGCGATTGGGAGCTGCACGTAATGCATCTTCGCAGCTATTACTTTGGTAGCTAAACCCGCTGAGCGTGTCTTTAGCCTGAAACTAGCCCGTCACTTAGCTTGGCATGTTCATGCATTTTCGGTCTATTGATAGATGTTGCAGCTTGTTTCGGCGTCTCCTGCCCTAAAGACTGTTGAATCCTCGCGTCCTTTCCCTCCTCTAGCACGTCACTCGGCAAAAAATTGGGAGGTTGTCGTCAACGAGTAAATCGCTTTGGACCACGACTAGACTTATAATGTACAATGTAGATTCTTGATTAATAAGACCCCCATACAAAGAATATGTGTCCAATTCAACTGGGTGGGTTTATTAATCAAAAGACTGCATTAAAATGCGTCCAGGCATCCACTCCGGTACTGAGTCCCCGAATCGTTCCCCTGTCCCATCTGCTGCGTAGGGTCATGGGCCTGGCATCACACCGGTCAAATCCACTCAACATCCGTTCCAATGCGAAACACTTAAGGGCTATATAATAGCGGCTTTATAGCGAGTTTATAGCAGCTATAGCCTATAGCCATCAGTGACCTGGGGCATGGGACAGAAGCCTAGTTGATTGGGCCCGGTTCTGGCTGCCGACTCCGGATCCGTCGGCTGCGGAAATCGCCCAGGCCGCCTCCCAGAACCATCGCAGCAAATCCACAAGGTCCAATTTCACTGGGTCAAAGATCACTTGGACGGCCTGGAGAGATCTCAGTGAGAAAGAACACTCTCTCTGAATCGGATCCTTCGGAAATCCTGTGGGCATTCAAAGGGCCGAATATGGCCGAATGACGGGCGCCCTTCCGATGGAAAAAATCGTCCGATGGCTATGTCCGACTGAAGTCTCTACCCCCCCCCACCTCCGCATGACCAGTCCTTCCCGTGACCACCTCCTCATAGGTGGGATTTGGTGTATAGCCTCCGGACCGCCGAAGCAGGATTGGGTGGGTCCAAGGGGCCAGGCTTTTGGGAAAACGATGGCTACAAACGCACGGATAGACAGGCTGAACATGTGAATTCTTGATCGTCCCTACCATGATTCTACCTTCTACCACTCATTCTACATCTTTCATCATCTTTCTCCTCTGCTTCAGGCCTGCGGCATAGCCCACCGCGGTGGAATACACTCCGCCGCCAGGCAAACGCCAAATGCCTTTCTCGCTGCCCCAGAAGCAGCCTCAGCGAGCGTCGACAAAGCCCCGCGGGTCCACCCGCGACGCTGTGCGTCCACGCGGGAATCCCGTCTTGTTATGAACGTAGCGGAGTAGCCGGCGTCCGAGCGAGCACGAGCGAGCAATACTATAGTAAGGCGAGGAGCGGTTCTACTGTAGCGTCCGAACACTCCGTTCGTAGCGATGCACGTGGTTCCGTTCGTAGCTATTTGCTCCTAGCAGTAATGCCAGGAGCTACGTTCGTAATTAGCGTCCTTGCTCCTGGTAGCGATGCCCTGTGTTCCTAGTAGCGATGCCAGGAGCTACTACATGCGGCTGATTCTCTGATGGCTCCGTTCCTGATTTTGAGACGAGACACCTGGCTGCCATAGACACATGTTGGACCATTCCGCAAATCAAAAATCACCCAAAGGAAGAACTGGAAGCAAGTCTGCAATTCCCACCCAGAAATGGAAGGGGACTGTCTTGAAACTTAAGGAAAAGGATGGAAAAGGTCATACATAATGTCTCAACATGTCTCCAATCACTGAAGAGAGTGTCTCATTGCTCTGAGTGTTGTTCAAGAAAACATGGTCTCCTCTTGCGCCCGACCTGAACCAACCATCTCCCCGGCCCTGGGGGGCAAGACCGAAAGCAACGTCCCGCATGTTTGTTCGCCACGCTGCCATTCGCAAAGACGAAGGTCTGCATGCCTCCCAAATCAGCGAAGGATGTCAGTGAGACATCTACTGCGTACAACTTCCCATGCGCTACTCTTCATGCACCAGAAATGTCCCAACCGAAAAGACCAAGGACTTCCAATCACATCGCTTTTTCGAGATGTTCCCGCAATCTGCCTGTTCCATTGGTGTCCCAAACAGCGTCCGCACGTCTCAGAACTGAGGTCAAACAGCGTCTGCAGAACTGAGGTCACTGATCCATCTCACTCCCGACCCGCATTGACTCTTTGCCTTGGGGCCACGGTCCCCTCATGGGGTTCTGCAGCACATAATGCTTCTCGCTGACCTGATCTGTATGCGCCCTGTCGCAGCCTGTTGCATGTCCCTCCCCTCATTTGTGGGTGCAGTAGCGAAAGTCCGTGACCAAAGCTGTGCCCGGAGGGTGTTCTCAACTGCGATGTCTAGGTCGACCGTGCCATGTATGCAATTCGCGTGTTCTTTCAATTCGTGCTTGGGGGCCAGCATGTATGCAAATGTGTTCTTCGGTGAGGCTACGCACCCCGGGAGCCATCGGACCCCTCGTGCGGCTCCCGTTCGACCCCCTCTGCCCCCTCTGCGAACGCGCAGGATCCGGGTCTGAGACGAGCCATCGGGTGCTACGTAAGGGGCGCTCCTGGACTTACTACCAGTAACAAGAAGCTAGTATATAGTAACAAAGGTATCGCGACGAACGGAGCGATCGGACGCTACGTCCACTTGCTGTGTGAATCTCAGGGCCCAACTTGCATCACGTCGTCTCGCCCCGGCAATGCTTGCTCGGGACCTAGGTCTCGAAATCATGGCTTGCTATGTGGAACTCATCAGGCTTGCTAGGTGCGTGCAGCGACTGAGCAAAGGCAAATTGGGAGACTTGATGACGAGGCACGATATGATTTATTGAAGCGAACAGTAAGGAGTTTCAACGTTCCATTTCGCTGACAGCTCTTTCCAAGAAGAGTGAGCCACCCACACCTTGGTGGCTTAGCGGCTAGCTGAGAAGCCATTGATGTACAAGCTTGTGTTGTTGTCTGGCCATTGATTGTCCAAAACAAAGCCCGCAAGGAGGTGCAGCAACAAACCAGAAGCCAGAAAATTGCAAAAGCCATTGATGAATCAAGGATAATTTAGAGGCAATGAGCACTTCCCTGACAAAGTGGCTTCTTCATCAATGATTCCCCAGTCATCACAGCCTTTAAGGGGGCCCTTACTGCGTAAGAGTTTTCAGGCTCTAGACTCTAGGCTTTCAGCAGTAGGTTCCGTAGTGCTACAGTCTGGTGAAACCCGGCAAGTGATTGGACAATGTCTAACAGTAACACGGACACATCAAACTGGTCCAAAACCAACAAACAGCTCCGGCTAATCCCAGCGTGACAGCGTTCGCCCGTAGAAAACCGTGACGGAATGCCCAGGCACTGATCATTTGACGACTGCCGGCTAAACTGAGCCGCCATTGTAAAGCTGCCTGCGACATGATTCTGGAGACCTAACAAACAGCGTCTAAGTAACTTGACATCAACGTCCACAGATTTGCAAAAAGTCCTGCCAAACCTGGGGACTGGGGAGAAGGGACTTGGACAAGCGGAGGTTAGCGGTAATAGCTCCAAAGCATCTCCCAGTGTTGGCCTGGATAGCCAGCCAGGCCCACACCATGGCAGCACACAGTCTTACGAAAGGGATAACTTGACCTGACTACAAATCCTCGCCTCTACTGAGCAAAAAGAGCTGCTAGAAGAATGGACCATGGACAATGGACAAGGAACGGAAATAAAGAATAACACCATGTAAGGTAGACTTGTTCTATCATGAGCTATCAATGTGACCAAGTTCCAGACGCTGTTGGTGTTCTCTCTACTTTCATAGTCCTCATCGTGGCCTTGAGCCAGGGATCTCACGGATCTGCAAGTGAAAGCAGGTGAACCGCGTGGCAAGAGGAATAAAGGACTAGGACTAGGGCAAGTTGCAGCAAGTACACTCACCAGCTCGCCACCAACATGCGCCAACTGCCCCTACGCTTGGCTGGCCAAGCCAATGGCTGGAAACCAAAGCACAGAGAACTCCGATGTGGAGGAGAGCTATTTTGCGTGGTGGTGCAGAGTTCTTATACATAGTGGGTTGTAGTCGCTGTGCCAAGTAGCCAGCAATTGCTAGGCGGCCGAGTACCGCGGTGTGCAAATGGCAAACACAAGTCAGCCACCAAGTGACGACAGGATGGGTCATGACTCATGACTCTAGTTCCATCTAATTCCTGCTTTTGGGGGAACGAGTGGTGTGGTGTGGAACTAGTGTTCCCCGCAAGAAACCAAAGCGACTCGTGCTTGGAGTTTGAAGGGCGGCCATCACAGCTCACACTCACACCCAACATCTCTACAAAACCCTCTGGGCCAGCAACAGTTCCATGAAACATGTGGGATGTACAGTGGTTTAGCTGCACGCCCATGGCAGGCTAAACACTTTACGTTGGAATATGATGGATGTTGATGCAGCGGGCTGCATTCTCACCATGTGGGCCATAGGTGGGCCATAGGTGTGAGGAGCCCCCTTGGTCCCAACAAAAACCAGTGGCGTGCCTTCACTGCAAACTCTTCCAAAGCTTCAAGAACCTGGAAAACGACAAACAACCTACAGAGCTTGGAGGAGATCCTTGTAGTAGAGCGGCTGCTCTTCCTACCATTGAAACTTCTCTAACATCAATGAATTCTGGATGTTGTTAACCCACATTGATGGAGAATCAGTTCTCCCAACGACCGAAAGAAACAGCTGTCAAAACCTCATCCTCAACTGATCGGTCCCACCTTCTTAACCTGTCCGTGGTTGCTGTGCTGCAAGACGTACTCCAAGGCCATGAGAGCCTTAGACCTCGCTACGAAGCACGAGGGCCACCGTCCAGGACTCTCAGACCACCTCGATCGACTCAGTCAGTTGCAGTTTCTGTTTGTCGTGCCGGCGTGAAATGGGACGTGGACATCCCGTTTTGACTGATGTCGCATTTTGGACAGAAACAGAAAATGCTTCAAGCAAGGGATCAACTAGCTGAAGTAACAAAAACAAACTAAACAGGGGTCCATGAGCTTTGGGAAATGAAAGAGATCGCTTGCACCAGCCTTTGCGAACCTTTTCCTACTCTGCGGCATGGTTTTGTTTAGAGGCACACAATTCACTTCAGGTCTGTTGGCGAATCCGCATCGGGAAATGCTGCCATCAATGGGATACTAAAGTTACTAAAGTAGCAAATCAGCAACGGTTGACCAGGTTGGTTCTTTGTCCCAGAATTCCATACACGTTGCATGTGATCTATAGCCTGTAGCATAGAAGTTGTCAGAATATATGCAAAGGGCATCACAGCAAGGGATCCTGCTTCCATCGGTGTCTTGGATGAACAAATCTTTTCACTCTATATATATAATTGTTTGGTGTCCGCACTACTATTTGCAAGTGTCTGTTTGCGCGTGGTATGTGGCCCACAGGCAAGAGTCGGCAAGAGCGTTAAGCTTGCAGAGTCTGAGGCTCAGACTGTGCAAGTCGATTTGAACCTTCCTGGCATTGAGGCCCTTGATCCCAGGCATAACTTGGGCACACAACCCCCCGAGCCAATCTAAACAGATCTCAAAAGGATGAGATAACTTGCATCCCTAGCACTGGAACATTGATTCCCTCCACTGATGTCTCGAGCCATTGGTTGCTCAAACTGCAAAGAATGTCCAGCACTTCAGTGCGACATATTCTTTGCTTTCCACTTCAGTGATCACCACGAATGCATGTACAACATTGTGCAACGCCATGCCGTGTGGGCACGTGCTTCCGAAACTATCAACAGGAGAACCGTTAAAGAACTTGCACACGTTGGTGTGAGGTGATGTGAAGGGTATCTTTCTCACTCTCTTGATCCTTGCCACTGGTCCAAAGTTCACCCAGGACCAAGGGTCCCGGAGGAATAGATTAGACTGGTCATTTTCATGTGTGTCCAGAAGTCAGTTCGCTGCTCACGTCGATCTGACTGCTGAAAATAGTCTCACAGGGTTCACCTCTTGAACATCACCTGCACCCTTGATGGATTCATTCATGACATTCAACACCAAGCTGGCGGTGTGGTGTGACTTCCCCAGGGACAGGATGCTTTGAACTATATAGCTCAACTGTGAGTTAGCTGAGCTGTTGATTGTGCATACTCAGTCCCGATCGCACAATAACATGCAATAACCTGTACAAATTCTTATATTAATATATGATATATGCTTGAAGCCGGCACCGTAGTGTGGTCTTGAGCGGAGATAGCTAAGACATATATGAAGTATGCTTTGAGTGGCGAAGCGTGAGTAGCATTGACGCAACATACTTTCCCGGTAAAGCTGCCCAGCATGACCTGCGAAGAACCCAGAAAACTGACCGGTTGAAGCCTTTCCACTGCAAACAAAAGTTAGCATTACACTGGCCCCAATGTAGGCATATATGGCATACATGGAGTGTCTGGGTTATATAAGTGGATCATATGAATCATATGAATGTGAATTGCCGCCCCAACCCTGACCGACCATGGCCCAGGGTGCTGCAATCCTAGATCGCATTAGCCCACCCAATTGCAATACCTTGAAGTTTCTGGTTTCTTAAGAGTTGCTTTACCATGCCCAAACGTGTGGAGTCCCACACGCCAGAGAAACACTCCAGAGAGAGAGAGAGACACACACAGGCAACAACTGAACCCAACACCGGAACTGGAACCGAAACATCGCCTCGATGGTTGCCACCGAAAGGTCTCCAAGCAAGAGGCCTAGCAGCTGTGTAGTGGAGCAAGAGGCTCGTGAGATCCAGAAGGCATGCTGAAAGTCGCAAATGACTGCATGGCACGCTCAGTCAGTCTCAGAAAGTAGAACGTGATGCAGATCACCACCTGGTTTCCTTCCAAGTGCCCAAACGATGCACCCCTTCGGGTGATGCCCTCTCATGGGTACAGTCCACCCTATGCCCGGTGGGCGCCGGCCTCGGGCATAGGCCCGGAAGGGTCTGCAGGCATGGGATTCCATGAGGAACTCCACGGTGATGCCTTGCAATCAGACTTGCCATGCAATCTTCGTGACGACTTGCCTTGAAACACTTGAACTGGAGAAACCACTTTAAACAAAGAAGGAAGTTGGTTGACCACAGTACCACTTTGTTAACGCCAGGTCCCCACTAAAATGATGCGACCATCACCGCTACAGAGACATTATTTTACTGAACAAAGGGCGCGTCTTCCTAAGGGTGGGGATGGGTGGGGGTGTTCTTCGTTACCATCTTCCGTATGATACACTCCCGAAAACCACCTGTTTGTAGTGGATTTCATGGTCTTCCGAACTCGGGGCCATTCTCCACTTCCATGTTAGTTCCAGGGAGTGTATGTATGATTCTAAGACGTGCCCATCTCTCGATCCACCGGTCAAACGTCGCCCGCAACCGCAGCTGGGGACCGCCTCTCTCTCCACGTCGCTCCGCCTCGCAAAGGATGGGCGACAAACCTGGCCAGTGCGACCATCCTTTGCATATCAAATACTACATGGGGTGCGACCGAAATCCAGTGACGCAACACAACAGTGCGAGCCTCTTTTTTATATTATGCCCTTATTAGAAAATATCCCAAATGCACGAAGGATCTTTGGGATAGGGTTCAAAGCACATCGAAGAAAATGACCTAATCGAACTCCCCAACAATCGCCGAGGTTGACTCGAAACCATGTTGGACACACTCACACGATTCAAGGATCTCGGAGGTTTCAAGGGTCGCAATCAAGCCATGTCTCATTTGGAGGGTGCCCCTTGGCTCGACGTTGCCATATTACAATCATACATATACTTTCAAGATACTTTCATTCATTGAAGGATTGTGTAGGTCGAAAATGTCAAAAAAACATCGTCACTGCAAACATGACTCTGTCCACAAATGGTGTGGGAAGCATGGATTGTGGGCAAGTGCTTCTGTCATTCTTCGTTTGCACAACTCCCATCAAGCCAAAAAGGATGGATGATCGGAAGTTGAAATGGTTTTTGAGATGGCTTGGGCAGGAGCAGCTGCTGGACCTAGGGACAAACAGATTTCCTAACTTTTTCCCGAAGGTGGAGCGATCTGCGTTCAATCTGCTTTGCAGATACCGAGCTCCGGCTTGACTAGATGGAGGCTGGGAAAATGAGCATTGATCTGCCCTGAGGGTTAAAACAAAGTGCAAGAGATGTTACCCATGCAGGTGGGTTATGTCTTGATGTGTCTTGTCAGCCTATGGTCCATCATAAATGGTCTTAGTGCCCGCTTTGAACTTGAGACAAGGTCCACCCTAGGAACTAACAAGCATCCACTTCATGAACGAGAAACCTCTCTCTCCCTCTCTCTATCAAATTGCCCCCACCTCTCTTCACCTTACTTCACCTGGCAGACCTCCATCAATCGTTGGGGAACCCTATGCAGGATCCCTCAACCAAGGACTGCTCCTCAGACTCCGTGTGGTCGTCGCAGCCTCACGCCAGGTCGTCCAGGAGGGAGTTCACAGCCCTCTCCACGACCCAGTCGTGATCCTCCAAGGCCACCGACGCCACGTCCCGGTCCACGCCCGTGAAGTTCACCACCATCTGGCAGCGCTTGTCGCGGCGGGACGGCTGGAGTGTTCACCGGGTGACCCTACCGGATTCCAGTGCTCCACAAACTTCTGTCCATCCAACATCGCCGAACTATCGCTTTGTGCAAAATTGCGGGGAGTTGTGAATTGAGGGTTCAGGGCTAAGGGTTTGGGTTTGCGATATAACGATACGATACTGGTCTGGACGTGCGTGCGGGGCCTCCACTTTTCCTTGCCGCTGCTCCTCCTCTGACAACCTGAGGGCCACTCCAAGCTACTTTGGACTGGGAAACATGTCTAGTGGTCCAACAAGAATGTCTTGGGCTGTTATTTCTTGCCGGATGGGGAGTATGCAAGCGCCTGCGCCATATATGTAACTTCCGCCCAATGCAAACACGCAGCAACCCAAAAACCTGCAGCCAACAGGGTGTCCAAACAACAGTGCTCAAAGGCACAGTTCAAATAGACTAATACCAGCCATACAAAATACGTCTATATTCCATATTAATGGGATGGCATGTCATTGGGATCAACTCAGTCCAGCCCATTCTGTCAATGTCCGCTCCCGCTACTTCACGCTATCGCTCTGCACTGCCTGACGTCAATGCCTAATGCGGGCCTTGCACCTTCCCAGGCCGAAACTGTGGCCACAGAATCACGACCAGGCACTCGACCAGGCCAGACACCATGCAAAACATGAGCCTATTACACTCGTTGAAGCAATCATGGAAGTGGAAAACCCCCATTTTGGACCTGTTTGGCAGACCCCGACCCCGGCACGTTCTCCAACATGGCGAGCCATCAGGGGCCAGTAGCACTCCTCAAATTTTGTCAACTTCAGCAACACATGCGTTCCACGTCGAAGGCGACCTTCACGCTGAGTTTCCCGAAGCATCCGCTCAGCTTCCTCCGAGGACACCTCCATGATTTGCCAGATTCGTCAGAAGGTAACCATACTGCAGCTTCATAGATTCCTTCCAAACATCCAAGCTCCTCCTCACCTCCGCTTGGCTGCAGTTTGATGCACAACCTCATCCTCCGATGCACTGGCTTTGATCCCATCAGTTCTCCAGGTCTAACAAGACATGGTGCACCTCATTGAGCCCCCAGCTCGTTGAATGTCAATTTTTCCGCGGTCTTCTCCGCGAGCCTTCCCCTTGGTTCCCCAAAACGCCGACAAAGGAGCTTTAGCTCCCGGGCGCGGTTCCATGACCATCTCCTCCAGGTTTAGGAGTGATGGAAAATCCGCATGGATCCATCTTCATCCTCTTTTTTCAGCACCCCCCTGAAGTAGCACCACATGGAAACGTCACCCATCCAACCTTGCTTCTTCCTGTCACACCTGTGACCGTGGAATTCATTCCATAACTTGACCTCCTGGTTGAAAGGAATAAGTCTTGGTTTCACTTCCATGATTATGTCGGGGAGTAAAAACGTCCTGCTGCCCGGCCACGTTCGCTCCAAGCGCGGCTCCCGCGCCGGTGCCGCTCCAGCGGGAGGAGCGGGCTCAGGGCGCCTGGAGCGGGCTCAGGGATCGTGGAGGGCATTGGATTGATCAATCGGATTGGCAGGGACTCATGATGACTCATGGAAGGGTTTTGGATGTTGCACAAACATCTTAGCCGTCCTAGGTCCTAGCTGCTAGGCATGCCAACAGCCTTCCACAAACCTCCTTTAGGTCTGTGTCACCCTGTCTGTGTCATGTTCTTTTCTTGCTCAGCTCCGCTAGACCAATGGTTCGCAGATTGGTGGACCCCACGCATGAAAGGACTGCCTACCTTGCTCAGCTCATAGGACCGGGTTCAGCAGTGAATCTGTCAGTTCTGCAGAAAGGAATCCATGCAATGTAGTACCTCACCTTCGCAATGGGGAATGTCGTAGCTATATAACTAATCCCAGGATGAAATGTATAAACTTCTGCACTATTTTCCGCTCAAACACCAGCGCGTGGGAATGGAAGGGGGTCAGAATACAGAATATTGAAGAAAAAGCTGATAAATCAAGAACAAAAACATCCACCACCCCTCCTCTGCAACCATCACTATCAATGACCTCACCACTTGGCTGCACGTCGCCTGGACTCCTCAGAAGGCAATAGCACCTCGCCAGCTGCGTACTTGGCTTCGGCCTTGGAGCGAAGAAATCGCCGGCTCCAAAAGAGTGAATGCTCCGAAGTAGATCATGGAAGTGGATCGCACCTGTTTGGTATTCGGATTTCATGTCATCCAAGGGCCATCCAAGATATCCAAGTAAGCAGTTTTACCATGATGACTTCAGGGAGTCTAAATGGTCAAGGGTTGCCTTTACCACTCGATTACTTCTCGCAAAGAACTCCTAACAAAGCCGCCTTGCAGTTCTCTGTAGGTATGCGAGGCCAAGCCTGCTCTCAGGCCAACAACTCTTCCATTTCAGCAAATTCATCTTGAAAAGTACTACGTGCGGCGTATACATAGTGATCCCCAAATAGATAGAAACGGTTTCCAATACATTTTTAGTGGGAAAATACGTTTCTATCTATTTGGGGGTCTATATATATATATATATATATATATCCGTGTTTGGATCCTGATTGGTGCATCATGTTACATAGTATAGCAGCATATGTTCCAAACCCTAAGGCTCTAGAGTTGTTCTGGGGGTTCGGATAATCAAGCTGTTTCTTTCCAGATCGGTTGCTCACGGTATGTTTTGTTATGTGTTGTTCTTTCTTGGTTTTCAAGTGCATGGCTATGATCACCACCGCATTGTCTTTTGGAGAATGCCAGGGCTGCACCGATGTCCGTTGATTGTTGATTGTTGTCTTTTCAACCTGCGAGATTTCCTCACGTTCATGGAGGACATCAAAAGCGACCGTGTCCTGTCGGTCGAATGGGTTGCATAAACATCATACAAAACATGCCAAAGCTTGCGTAACATACACCTGCCGCAGGTGAGCTCTCAATTTTTTATTTATATACTGGAAGCAAAATGGCCTCTCTCTGTGTCTGTGAAAGGTGCGAATCATACGTAGCAAGGCCTGCGACAATAGACCACTAAACGGTCAAACCTCACAGGAATTCTTGGAATTCCCAATACCGGGCGCCCCTGGGTGCGCCTCCTGCAAGCTAAAGCCAGCCCGTAGAAAGCGCTGGATCTCGAAGGCCCTCTGTGTCCTCCAAGTGGCGAAAATGACATGTTTGAGCAAGTTCTGGGCGGTGCTTGAGTGATTTGACTGAGGGAACTGGAAACACTTTGGAACACGCGGAAGCGATTCTCTTGGGAAAAGAAGGTGTCCATGGATCCAGGCTGGAAGTGCTAAGTTTAGAACACACAAAAAATGCAAAAAACATAACCTTCGCAACAAGTGTTACTGTACCCTCCGAGCCATTAACATGGAAGTGGACAGCCATCTGTGAGTAGAAAAAGACTTATAAATAGAATTTTTGCCATGGCCTTACCACCATTGTCCACTTCCATAATGATGTCAGAGAGTGTAAAAGGTTTGCCTTGCTCGGATTCTTGTTGGGTTTGGGTTTGGATGGCCGAGCTGGGCTTGAAAAAAGCCGCAATGGGACGAGTGGAGCACGTTTGATCCACGGTTTTACGGTTGTGCACTTCCCTTGCCTGGCCATGACCTCCTCTTCATTGAGCTCCGGCAGAACCGAGGACAAGGCCTCCAAGAAGGAGATAGGGAGACTTGACACACACCATTCTTAGGTCATCAGAGGTCATCAGCGCTTCCGAGTGGTCAAGAAAATGCCCAGCCAGGCCACGCAATGAAGCGACAAGTATGTCAAGTCGAGCATCGAAACCTGAAAGCAAACGTGCAGAGTTGTTCGCTCGTTTGGTCACCTCGGGTTCCGCGCTCCCACGCGCCAGAGGCTCCTGCACCGAGCTCACACGAGAAGGCGCGGCCCGAAAACCATCCGCGG